AAGGTTATGTTTTCAGGGCGTTCGTGTATGTGTGTGTGTGTGTGTGTGTCTGTCTGTCTGTCTGTCTGTAAACACGAACTTGAGAAGGCCTTGATGGATTGTCTTGATACGTTGGTAGGTGGGTAGGTCTTGATGAGACCTCAAAATGATTAGATTTTGGGCCCCCTAGCGGCTTGTTATGGTACTGCAGCTGAACTTCTGGTTTTGATATCTCATGATCTAGACATGCTAGAGTGACGAAATTTGGATGGTAGGTAGCTCTTGCGCTGGGGAAGAAGTGACGTGAGTTTGGGCCCCCTAGCGGCTTGCTCTAGAACTGCAGGGATATATTCTTGAAAATATTCAAAAGGGGATAACTCAAGAACCGATTGACGGATCGTCGTGATTTTTGGTATGTAGGTAGCTTACGCGATGTTTAATATAATTATGTGACAATTATGCAAATATGGATGTAATTTGCATAATTTATGGGGAAATTCTATAAATCAGCTGCATTCCATGATAGGACAATTGAAGCTTGTGACATTGGTAATTGACAATGAGAGAAACACAGGAAGATATTGATTATGTTAATAATGACTTAATTTGCATAATTAATGAGAAAATTTTATAATTATGTAATGATAATTGCCTGGAATTTCATACTTGTGGTATTTGAAAGTTTAGTTGACGTGAACATCATTAAACATAATTTATTCAAATCAGGACCTCATTTGCATAATTTATTAGGAAATGCTAGAATGCATTGTTTGTTAATATATATAAGACTGTCTTTTGGTTGAGATTATGATAAAATGATATAATTCATGAAAATTAGGTACCTATTTCTTAAATCAGGGGGGAATAATCTAATCTATAATTTGTCAGTCATAAAGTTTAACATCATTTGGCGAAGGTATGAGATCGGGGAACTCTAGTTTGGAAATATTTTGAACATCTTGTCAATATTCTAAATAATTCCCTGGTTTTCTAAAACGTTAGAAATATTCCTGATGTGGAATATGACATTTCCAATAGTTTCTAAATATTTCTAACAGCACTCTACCATTTTTTACCATTATTTCGAATTATTTCTAACATTTTGTAAATAGGTCAGTGGGATGGGAAGGAAGTAATTCACACATCCCTGTGAAGTACAGGGTAGACTGCCTGGGTGTCAGGCATTGATGCCTTACAACAAAAGAGCCACCAGTGTCCAACAGTGAAATCTAAAAATATACAGAAGAATACAGAAGAGTAGGATTAGCACCTACTTTTATGGGGGCAATTACCCACATCTACCATTTTTCATTTGTTTGAAATAGTTCTAAATATTTCAAATAGTGAAAGAAACAAATGGGTAGTTCAAATTTATTCTAAATAAAGAGATCTTTGTACAGTCACTTTCAAAATGTTTCAGAAATATATAAATGAATTCAAATATATTCAAATTTTCATTTTCAAATTTTTGAAAAATTTAGAACTTTTGTTACTAGGGTATTCTTTTCTTCTAAATAATTCAAACGTATTAGAAACATGGAGAAAAAACCCACTCGGTGACGCGGAATCGACTCTATCTTGCACTGAAAAGTCGTATTTGCCATATTTCACACAATTTTCTGTTTTATTGTATTTCTAAAGGCAACAGAGGCCAGTGATATTTTCTAAAAGACCACAGTTGCAATTCAAACTGAAACCAAGCCACTGTGCTCACCCCAACATTTAATGCCATCTCTCGCATCTCTCCCTCTGTGGCAGTTTCACCATCCTTCAATCTGTAAAGTACAAAGAAGAAGTTGGTGAAGATGGCATCGGAGGACAAAAAAACTTTCAAAATACATTTTTCACTTATATATCCTTGTATCAGTAACTTACATGTAGTGTCAAGGGCAAGTGACAAGTCTGTAACTGTTACATGCCTCTTGCTTTACAGTCTTCCTTAAAGTATCTAATGCAAGGGAATGGATGCACCCCCTTGGGTCAAGTAAAATACAAGGCGGTCACCACAATCCATGGTTCACAACACATGACCATGAATTCCCAGACCCTGGGAAAACCCCCAACATTACTAGTATCACTCATGCTTTCTGTGTAGAAAGCCAGTGTACTTACACCATGCAGATGCATATCTCCTCAACAAGAGACTCATGGGGTACTCCGATAGCCTGTATAGATAGTCAATATCACACATGTCACATTAACGTTCAACAACCAAGTTGTTAAGCAGTTGATTCTAATGTACTTATAACAGCTAATCATAACTAAGAGATGATCTAATCATAAGTACGTGATATAATCAGCCATAGACGGTGAACGATTGTGTAACACTAGCTATTTGGCACGGACACTCACCTTGACGATTTTGACTTTGTCACAGATTTCGTGAAAGATACGTTCGAGCAACACGGGATAAACATTTTCATCGTCCTTCAAAATCACATCCTGCAAAAGATTATTGGACATCCGATACGTTAGTAAAAGGATTGAAAGCAATGTCATAGTGCTAACAACATGTAATCAATTGTTTGGTGATTGACAGTCCTATGTCTTACTCCAATCCATAAGGGGAAATGAAATAGCTGTGACACAGAATCAGGTGAGCTTTATTGGACGACAGGTACAGTTAACAACAATCGAGTTTGTTATGTGAAACATTGGTTTTGTTCTTCTATAAACTGCTGATGTAACATAGAAACATTGGTGAATGTAATCAGTTGTATTTGTGAAATTTCAATAATGGTTTTAAAAAAGACACCATTATCTATTCTATTTCTAATCGTATTCAGTCAGTTGAAGTCTTACCATTATCAGTGCATATTGAATACACAAAGTCTGACCCACCTTTGATCTCCCGACGATCGTTAGTAAGCCATCTTCACCAAGTCTACCAATATCCCTGGGATGGATACAATCAACATCAAGCCATCAATTCCTCATTAGGATTTTGGAATGTTGATAGGCGTACATGCTGTCTCATAAAATGTTTTATCAATAACGTGACCAACAAGGTTTATGAAATGTTTGTGAATGACACTCTCTTAAGGGTCAATAGTTTGTGGAAGTTAAGCTTCTGTCATCTGCATTGGATGCCTTTAGAACACAGTTAGGGTGTTATAGACAGTGAGCATGGTAGTACGAAGGCAGTTGAGGTGAATACCCTGTATTGCACCACCCGTCAGCCGACATGATACTCCTGTTGGTGTCCTCGTCCCCACAGTACCCTTGGAACACCGAGTAACCTTTGACCCATACCTCTCCGTCCTGCCCCAGTGGCACCGTGTCTCCACTTCCGTCCACCAGTTTTACCTTTCTCACAGAGGAAGGAGAGGAAACCAATTGCAAGGGAATTAAAACCCTTGGAAAATTCAATACGTTTATTGCATAATGACTATAGATGAACAATTCTTATTGCAACACTGACGAAGCCTTCTGACAAGTAAGAGCTCCGTAGATTTCCTTGTAAGTATTAACAAAGACTTCAGCTTTTAAAAGTACCGTTTTCGGGCTGTTAAACACTGGAAATCGTAAATCCAACAATGCAATGGTTAGATTTTCACAATAAACAGCTGAAATCGCGATTCACCCACCTCAATTTCAGGAAATATTTTACCGACTGTCGTGCTGGCCGCTTCTAGCGACATGTCTGGAGTGACAGTTGACACACAAACCACCTCAGTCATGGCATAGAGGTTCTGTACAAGAGAGCAAACGTGTTTTCCACTGCAGTACCGACAATACAAGCAAACTGGACATTATGGTCAAGGATCGCTAGAAGACTGTATCATAATGATAATTGTTTTGCTGAAAAAGAATTAACACTTTTGCCTCACTGCAGGCGAGCATGGGCCAAACGGCATACAGTATAAACAACTCAAGATGACTGCTGTGTAAATAAAGTAAGGTTATAAAACACTAGTATTATCTCCACCACCGATCTCTGTAATGCATAGATGGTTTAGCTAATGTAAAATACAACAACTGGACGCAGTCAAAGTGTACATTTTTCTTACCAGGATTTTTACATTTGGAAGAAGTTGAGTCGACAGGTGGATCAAACTCTCGTGTACCACGTTACCGCCAACGTGAACTAAGACACAAAATAAAGAACACAAAATTTAGAGTCAACAATTACCGTAACCACTACTGCATTAGGCCGTCTTCTAACTGTTTGAAAACTGACAGACTTTAGCAATGTAGGATGGCAAGTAAGGTTAAATACATACTCATCTCCAAAGATGATAGATCATAGTCCTTCAGCTGCGGATGGTGCAAAAGTTCGTGGAACTGTTTGATGAACAAGAGGGCTGCCACGGCGCCACATCTGTACATGGGAAATGTTTTCAACCCGTACCAATCGTTATGCTGAAGGGTGGTAATACCGGATATACAGATAAACAGCTCACAGACGAAATCGATCCACTTGGTTCTTTGAAGATAATTTGTATGAAAACGATGAAATAGCTGATTGTTGAATGGCAAAATATTGAGGATTTTAATCTCCCTATCCCAGTTTCTGTTCAAGCAAGCGGCATTCCAACATCTACTTAACCTGGAGGCGTGGGTGTTAGAAATCGGTATTGCATGGTGACAAATTAAAAGTTTACAGATAAGCTGCTTTTCATCTCTTCATTTCTCATATCTTCATTTAGATTTTGGAGCCTTTCGAAAGTTATTATCTGTATTTTACAACCATACTTGTCATTCCCACTTTATATGAAATCGGAGGATGCGGTGCCGCACAGGTGGAACATTAGATGTAGGTCATCACCTCTCTTCCTGAATGGTGGACAGCAGATCGGTAACTGTCGCCTTCCCGGCACTGGGGAAAACCATCGTGTTGCCGAACACAATCGGCTGGTGCACGTCCCAGAACCCACTTTCGGCTGCCGAGGGGAAAAGGCACTTGGGCTGAAAAAGAGACAATTTAAGTAATTTACTACCCGCCATGGTGCAGGGGAAAGGACGCTTGCCAAGTTGGGTAAGAGCAGGGAGGTCTACGAGTGGGGTGTGGGGAAGAGTAGGGAGGTCTACCAGTGGGGTGTGGGGAAGAGTAGGGAGGCCTAGGTCTACGAGTGGGGTGTGCATTATGTGAGATATTTTCGCAGGAAAAGCACTTTTTTCGACCACTTGAGAGTATTATTTTTGAACATTTAGCAAGCATCCGACTATATTGACTATAGAATAATTGCTTTCTAAGATTCAGAGGGATTCGGATGGAGAAGGATGGGCTCTGCCTTTCAATATTGTAACCTAGACACGATTGGTTAACAGCCTACAGCCTGAACTGAAAGGCTATGTGACTACCTTACCTCTTAGAGGAGCAACGCCTACCTGCTTGTCAATGCCGGTCATCCTGAAGAACTCACCGCAGGAGTTCACAAGGGCGTAGGTAGAGTGCTGGACGAACTTTGGCATCCCTGTGCTACCCTGTTGCAGAAAATTCGAGGGTTCGTCCTTGAACATAATGGTACTAGTAGCCAAATGTATTCAAAAGATATTACACTAAAATGAGAAAATTGAGAACTTCATGTACTAGTACTTCGAGATTGAACGTGTAACCTTTCAATGCTGTTCTTCTATAAAAGAACTAGGTACGAGCGTATACTCATAATTTGACTAAGTTATAGGATTTATGTCGAATTTAAGTTCTGGAGAAGTATATATATATATCTGTATCGGTATAGCCGGTATAACCGCCCTTCGGCGTAACACACCAGCTTCGCAGACACGCGGTGCGGCGGCAGCTAGCTATATCACACCGAACGGCTTGTTACACTCAATCTTTGCACATTTGAGTGCAGGAGTTGTTTAAAGCTTTCTAGTGATTTCTATATATGTGTATGCAATAGGAATGTTGAGAACCAAAATCAAAGAGCTGCATTTCATAGACAAAATCTGATATTCATATGGTACCAATGCCATCTGCATGTCAAACTCAATGTATACGAAGGAGAATTACAGAGAATATGAGACCAGCAATAACTTTATTTGATAACGCGATGTGCATCTAGAGCTTTAAATCAGGTGCAATGTCTTCTACTCACTGATGTACAGAAGAGAAAACCGGGGTCTTTTGCACTGAGCTCTGTTTGCAGAACATCAAGTCTTCTATGCTCCTCTTCTCCACCCATTTGTTGGACGTCTGTGAACATGTAGCAGCCGCTGGAACCACGAAAAACCACTGGGTCACAAACATTTACATGGAACGTCTAGGAACAAGTTTCACAGAAATAATTAATACAACATATATGTTACATATATACATGTGTATATATGTACATACATACAGTGATCCCCACATTGCACACACGACATACTTTGCTTGCATATGCTTTAGGTTTAAATGTTCAAATGAAGCATGCGCATTAACACTGTCCTGGTCTGGGCCTATAATTTTCAAATAAACAGGCATTGATTAATGTGGCACATTTTGACAAAAGGAAAACTCATTTCAGGAAGCACATTTCCACCAATCAGAAGCATTTAACACGTACCTGTATTTCCTGTCACTGATCGCAATTACGGTCTCCAGGAAGGGTAACCTGAGGTGCAGAGGTTTAAGGGAGAATAGTCAAAATATGCAGATGGATACCTTAGTCTATGTGGGGCATTCCTGCATCCATCTTTTAAGTTGAAGTTAATCTTTTAATGAACAGGAACTGTATGCGGAGATCTCTGGCTGTGTCTGGGGCTATAATCTGAAACAGCATACCAGAGGATGCACAGTGTGCTCCAACAGTGAGAACTTTCAAACAAAGAATACGGTACTGGAGAAATTTGATTTGCGGACTGATTTACGGACTGTGATTTTTGGACAAGATGTGATTATTATGTGGGTAGCCATGACCTACCCACATACTAAATATTGATTATGGTAATACATAGACCATGATATTGATATAGCACAAGCTGGTGTACCATTGTCGTCTCAAACAGCCGATCGACAGTAACTGTAAATGAGCCCACGTCTAAAGTAGCTGTAGCCAAAACCTTCTAGAATGAAGATGGAGATACTAGTCAGTACTTTGTGTTCTTGAGTTGGCCGGGCTGACATGTCTCCAGCTCCGGTGCGATCTCTATCAGTGACTGCAGGGGGTTCTTACTGTAGGCATCATCTTCGTCGCTTTCTTGTAGCACTAATGTCTTCACCTTTACCTAAAACAAAGGCCACAGTAAGAAACATGTTGGAAGCCATGTCGAGTAGGGCTTTAGAACGTACAAACCCGGACCTGGCCGATTATCTGTAAGTGACGCATACAGGCAAATGTCTTATTTAGCGGAAAAAATATCGTCTTTGTATGAGGATTTACATATTCCAATATGAAAACAATAATATTCACACGTTTTACTCATTAGTGTTCTAGTTTACTTCAGGTACAGATAATAGAATACACAGATATACATAAAGAAATCTAAGAACTATGGTTGCAATACAAAACATAGTATGTGTAAAGTAAACGAACGTAGCCCCGAAAAGGTAGCAATACATACACATGGCGAATTTACATGTATATGGGACAAAATACTAAGTAAACCTCGAGTTCTACAAGTAGAAAGATATCTGTAAATTTAGTCATACTAGTAACAAGTAAGTAAGTTATAGATTATCATACATCGCCGTTCTATATGCCAGAAACAAAATGATGTGAAAACAGTGAAAAACAATTTACCTTGTTTAGCATGTAGATGGCAACCTCTGAATTCCAATCAAACATATTTTCCAGCGGTACCTATGACACGTCAATGCAAATGTTGGTATTACCAATAACGAACACACATGATGTTCAGGGAACTGCAAATTCAGTATAAGCGTTTACATTTCAGTTGACAGGTTGCAATTGATCATAAGAGAAGACATGAAATAAAGTTAATCCAGGTGTCATCATGACCCTGCCTTGGTTATTCCATTACGATCGTGCATGTTAAGATAACATATTGTACATGTACAATGATACATCAGGTCGCTGACATACCGAAATGGCTCCCACTTTTGCTACGGCAAAATACATCAGGACCCATTCTAGCCTGTTGTCTACAATCCATCCGATTCTGTCCCCTCGCTGGGTTCCCAAGGCCAACAGCCCAGCTGCTAGCTCGTCCACCTTGCAGGAGAAATGAAGAGCAAATATTCTATTTGTGTGTGTGTGTGCACGCGTGTGTGTGCATGTGCACGTCTGTTAGTTACCAAAATAACTCAAGAACGGTCAGGTGGTCTGGCTTCATGCTTGTTGTGTTAGTAGGTTGTTTTTCATGTTTTAACGCATTCTGTGCTAATTATACATATAATATCGCTTTCTTTTTAGTTCGCCACCCCCCTACGCCTGCTCGGTGATTACATATTGCCAAACAAATTCGTCTCAGGGCCTGGATCATGGAGTGATCCAGGCCCTGGGGTAGGTAAGGAAAACAGCCGTGCGTGTCTCAGAACGTCAGTACGTCATCCCAACCAATATACGATCTTCCGACCTCTCATGACTTTTGAAAAGATCTGGCATTTGGCACCCACGTACAATTGACAACCACAGACAACATTGCAAACGTGGCTATGTGTGACAGGAGCGAATACTGACAAAGGTATTGACATCAGGACAAAGTAATTTCGACAAGAATCCAAACGCATTCCTCTAGAGTGAGAGATCCAAAGAGAGATCCACTGATAGATCCAAACCCCTTTGATTTGTCAAGGCTACGGAAACCTCCTTGGATTTGGACACTACCGGGATAGATTGGTTATTTTGAATTACGTAACGTAAACTTGATTCTACGTTAAATATTTACAAAAGTCACCTGCTTCAGTCACATGATGGTCTGTAGGTCACAAGACAAACTTTTTGGAATCGTCTTATCGCTGGCACATTTTTTTTATAAAATTGCATAGAATATGATTATTCATATTTACATTGATAACAGCTGCTATGTCCTATCCCCTTTCTGAGATCTATTGTTTCGTAAGTTTCTACAAATCATAAAAGAGATTTTTGTGAGTGACCCTCGAAATGTTAGGTCAGGACTCGACTTTCTGCTCGCAATACGAACACAGTATTTTTGACTAGCAGCGTCTGTACCGGTCACACAAGATAGATCGCTTTCATGTATCGTTACAGAGAGCTGGGACTGTGTCAAGGTAAAGTCCACCAGCAGGTTTTGGTGTCCTGTCACGGTCAGGAAGAGCTATTCATATATTGTGCTTACACCATTCAACTGTCACCTGTAGCCAACGCCTCTCAAACAAATCATCCTTAGCATACTTTACCACATAACACAACATTTCTGTTGAATGCGACTTTCGACAGTGCGTAAAAGCACTACATGTACATATGTAACCGGGGCACAACAGCAGTCATGCTCATGCAACAAAGACAAGCCCAACCGGTTTCTTCGGCAGGCTCGGTAAGGTTGTCAGAATATAACCGAACTGAACAATCCAACAGAGAAAGGAACCGCCATGTTTACTTTTCCTCGCGATCAAGCCTTCTTTAAAATCCTATTCTTCGCTGTAATACATTTATACCCCAAGCAATGTCGTCTTGTGATAAGACGGGAGAACCGTCAGGGTACCGTACCTGTACCCGTACCTGAACTGACGTACCTGAACTTTCAGCTCGGTAAAGGTGACCCTAGTTCCGCCCGGCCGGAAGACGTACGCCTCTCGGTCCGGCCAGCGGACAGCCGCCTTTTCCAGCAGCTGACCAAACGTGTCGTCCAGGAACGGCTGGACAGCAGGGCGATGGTAGTAACTCGTGTCCATTTTGGCCGAGCAAGACTAACTTCAGTGTGCTTTTATAACTTCCAGGGCAAAGGGCAAACTTTTGTTGACACAACATTCCTTTCTTTGGGGGTGTAGATTACTAGTAGACCTCTACTAATAATCCACCTTTGTACAGAAATAAAAACATGTTAAATTTTTCACCTGTACCAATAGAGTGAAAAAAAAAACAGGAGTAAGCCAATGAACCTGTCAGAGAGTGCCCTATGCTGTCTACTACAATGCTTAACACTTGAAAACTAGCTGGCGTGTGCACGTGATTTTCCCAAAATAGTATGAAAGGTGATCAGAGCGACCTTCGCCCAGTGACACAGGTGAGCAAACAGACCGGGACGGTACCATGGTGGGACGTCTCAGTGGGCGGGGGGGGGGAGGGAGAGATGGAGGGGGAGGAAGACAGAAAGACTCAAACATGTACATGGCTGAATTTCGATGGTTGTTTACAACATAAATCATTAATAGGGTCGTTAATAAAAATTGCAATCGCGTCTGAATCGACAGATTAAACACTTTGGCTATTTCTTCAACTTAAATCTTTGAATTGTCTTGGCATGTCTGAACCGTCTGAACTGAATTGTCTTGGCATGTCTGAACAGTTTTCAGTTAATGTTGTGTGCGTTATGTTATTTTTTTTTTATTAAGACTCACACCTTTTGTTATGTTGGTTTTACTTTCATGTACATTTGTTTTGTTCTGTTCTGTACATTTGTTTCATTGTAATTTTGCGACTCCAGGAAGAATAGATTTCATGTAAATCTAATGGAGATCGAATAAACAAACAAACAAACAAACAAACCGAAGTGTCGACTCTTTGCCTCCCTGACTCAGCTGTTTCAATTAGAATGAGCTTCAAACACACACACACGCACACACACACACGCACGCACGCACGCACGCACGCACGCACGCAC